GCCTGCGCGTGTGGTGGTCCTGTAGACTGTCTCGATGCCGCCACAGAAAAGCCACGCCACATATGACAGGGGCGAAGGTCCACAGCAGCAGACCAGCCACAGCGGTCCAGAGGAACGGCGCATGTTCGGCCGACCGGCAGATGACGTGTGGATCGAGGTCCATCCGGGGCCTTGGGTGGTCCCTCGGGTCAAAAGGCAGCCGACTGACACCCTCGCCGGTCGCGATAGGGATCACATCGGGCACATAGGGATACCATCGGCAGCGCAGGAGGGCCAGCATACTCTTGGTGACGGTGGGGTGAATGAACGTGAGAATCACGACCATCATGGTGCCGCGGTCGTCGAGCCACTGCCGCCATCGGCCGCTCTTGCGGGGCTCCGCCAGGGAGTGTTGGCACGAATGGGGCGTCTCTGGCTCGGTTGCCGACTCCTGGAATGTGACTGCTCGCTGGTAAGGACCCTCTACGGCGGCCTTGTGTGCCTTTCCGTTGGTGACCGATGGCGGCGCTGAGAGGGCTCGGAGGTAGGTGTCGGTGGCGAATGAATCGTCGGTGCCGATGCGCCGCTTCGACTTGAGCGCCTCGCGCACTTTGTCAAACCCACTCGCTGCACTCAATGACACCACAGGAAGGAGAAATGACCACAGTGGATCGCTTCTCTGGTTGAGTGCATCTGTCGCTACCAATGAGGGGCACAGCAGTGAGCCAGATCAGTGGTAGCCCCAACCATATGGCGTGGCGATACAGCACGCATTTGTCGCCCACGTATGGCCTCATCAAACGCTCCCACACTTGATAACTTTGCGGAACACCGCCACTCCATCCGAAGAAGCTGCCGACCAGCGAGGATATCTGATCGCCCCAGAGGGACTCGTCGAACACGAGAAAGGCCAGCCCACATACCTGCACACACATACATGCGCACACAGCTGTGGGAGAGACGTCCTGCGAGCGATGTGAGTGCATTGCGTACGGCGGTGATGTGCGACAGTCCGATTTTGGTCAGTTGGGAGGGGACCTCGGCCCTTTGTGTGGCCGCGGCGCTGAATGTGTGACGCCACGCGCAAACGAAGAGAACACAGACATGCAGACAGACGAGTTGGCAGATGACTATGCGCCTCAGACCAGCCCACCGTTCAGCGAGTGCCGTCAGAATGAAGATGGCCAGCAGAGTGGCAACGACAAGCAACACGTTCACCACGACGATCTGCCAAAGGGCCGCACATGGGGCGCACGGTTGCTGGGGCGTCTGGCGCGAGAAGCCCCTTTTGCACAGATTACACACAAAGCCCTCATGGCCCTCCTGGCACACAGACGATGCAGAGACATGTCACAGTGGCGACGGCCTGGGTGAAAGGACATCTGTTGGCTCTCACCGAGCATATGTTGAGTCCAGATGTTTTGTCAGTGCCTCTGCACGACGCCGGCAACGGGCACGGTATGACTATGGGCAGCTCAGTCAAACCGGCGCCATACCTGAAAGCGCAGACGGCACCATGGCAAATGCCTATTTGCCCCTCAGTTTTGGTTCTTACGTCGTCACTTCTCGTGTGGCACTGGGGGATGCGCCGGCCGACTGCAGGCGGGCAGTGAGTTGGAAGAACCTTGGCAGCACACTCGCGTTGTAGTTGATGGGGACGGTGCAGTCCAATCCCTCCTGACAGTCCTGGCAGATCCACCTGCTGCGACTTCCGTCACTGCCGGCGTTGCGCACACCGACAGATCCCGCCGTGCACGGCTCGCAGGGCTCGTTGCCCCTCTTCTCGTAGCCAAGACGGCAGAAACAGGCAGCCGAGCCCTCCTCAGAACCTGCCAACCATACTCGTAGACCAACATAACGCAGATTGGGAGTCTGTTCGTGTCGGCGCCGACCTGCGTCATCGAAGCATCGCTGGCACGATTGTGTGCCGACCTGTCTGTTGCTGTGGGTGCCCGCTGGGCACATGGTGCAGGCCTTGCCCGTGCCGCTGTAGCCAGGCAGACAGCGGCAGAGCTTCTCCTCAGCCACGCTGAAGTCGACCATTATCCAAGTGTTGCAGAGGGTGGTGCACTCATAAGTTGAGTTCGATAGGCCTTTCGGGTCTCTCTGGGGAACATACGCTGCACACAAAGACAGACACATTAGGCTCTCCGTGAATGTGTTCCCTCACCAGCATGGTTTGGCACCAGTGTGTCAGCGGAGACGTTCTTGAGGCTCAACACGTCCTCACAGCTCTGCAGGCAAAACAGAGTAGACACCCAGACACGGTGGGACCTCATGTCATGGGCCTTCGACCGGCCTGATCCGCCTGACCCACCTGTATGTCCAGGCTGTCATCGATACGGTCGATTCTGAGATTTGGGTTGCCATCGATTCTGACGTCCAGGCCCGCAAGCCAATCACCGCGGACGCTCTCGAGAGCGTTTGACGAGAGGTCAGCACGCGCCAGCTTCCTCAGCCGCAACTCATCCAGGGCGACAATCGAGTTGTGGCTGAGGAGGAGCCGCGTCAGAGAAACGAACCCCGGGCGCAGAGTCGGGTAGGCGGCCTGCACACATAAACACAAGGAGCGGGTAATGTAGGGCTGGACACAGTCTGTCTGTGTGCATATCTCGTTACCACGGATCTTTCAGTAAACTCTGTGTTGCCATATCTCGACAGACTACTGCGGTCATAGAATGTCACCGAGTCGCTGAGCGGAAAAGGGGAATAGTGAACGGGTCAATATGTGTGTGTGCCTCGACCCCCTTTACCAGTCCAGGCGCCCCGTGAGACCACAGCCAGCGCAGCTCAAGGTCATCAACCTACACAGACAAGAAGCACATCTCCCACATCACACCCGACGGTGAGTGTTTCCTGACGTGTTGAGCTCCCGGAACGTCTGCATAAAGTTTCGGACTTCAACGCCCAAAGGATTGCCCGAGAAGTCAGCCTGCAAAATCGATATATGTCAGCAGCTCACATAATGGCAGTGACGTTGCTGAGTGCCCTTCGGTGCGGTGCCCACCCACCCGTTGGATGACCGGCCAGTAGGGAGGCGCCGGCAGTGCCAGCAGATACAGGGTGATGTGCGGCGTGACTGCCCAACAAATACAAAGCAAGTGACAAGCGATGCAGCTCAAAGGAAAATGAGAAATACAAACACACGTACTGCGAGCATTCGCCTGACAAAATCGCGCTGAAGTCCTCCCCCATGTCGGCCATCCGCTGAGCTGATTGCCCTTGAGGAGTATCTCCTCCAACGCAGGCATGCTGTTCCACCCTTCTGGGACTGACGTCAGGCGATTGAACTCCATGTTCAACGTCACCAGCCTGCAGGTGAGAGCATGAAGGTAGGACAACATGCACAGTCCGTGTCATTCTCTGTCCGTCTGCATACCCTTCTGGCATGGTTCCGTTGTCTGTGAAGCCTTCGATCTGGTTGTCGGCCAGATACAGCTCCCGAAGAGCTGATGCCTGGCCAAACGGAGGGAGGCGGCCTTGAATGGCGTTGCTGCGTAAATCGATGAAAGAAACTTTCTTCCAGCCGTCGATGGAGGGCGGCAGAGCGGTCAATCTGAAGGCATAGATACACACAAAGTGTACAGAGCACGTGTCCACCTGATGCCTGGCTAAGCCGACCTGTTGACCGCCCCACGAATTTCCTGCAGCTCAGTGAAGCCGCCGAGCTCGGCGGGCAGTGGGCCTTCCAACTGGGCAACAGGCAACGGTTGAAAGATGTATTGAAAGTTCGACTGCTACATCTGCGTCAGGTCAACTCCCACCTGGTTGTATCCAAACATCAGTGTCTGCAGCCGCTTCATCGACGCCAGCGGCCGCAGTGTACCGCTTAGATTATTGCTGTCGATTCTG